TCCCTTACCAAAGATAAAGCCACTAACCCATCTAACAGGCAAGAAGACTGGGAATACATCATCGGATTCTGTGACCAGATCAACAAAGAACTTGAAGGGTGGGTGTCCCAAGCTGCTCTAGACTTAATTTATTAACATTCACAGTTTAAAATATATGATTTTATTATCAAACTTACATGTTTTCTTTTATATACTGATATTGCAAGGAAGATCTGGCAACAAACGAAAGAAGATGCTGTGAGGTGTGGTTTCTGTGAAAGGCAGCACGGCTTATAGAGACTGAGCACTAGGAAAATGGGAATTCTGACTCTGCCTCCAATGTCAGCTTCTGCTACTCCAGGGTTCTCATCTAGGCAAAGTTATTCTGTTTGCTAGTCTGTAAGATGGGGCTATAACTATTAGTGCCTGATGGGGTTTCACGTCTTTAAAATCTTTACAGGGCTTAACTGAGAAAACCTCCTGGGTCACACCATTCCTGTGAGCTAAGGAAGAAGTGTTTTCTTCTGGAAAAAGGAAACTAATGCAAGAGAAATGCAGTGATTTCCTGGGCTGGGGACTGTACTGGGAGTTGTTTGGCCCCTCCCAAGGAGGAATCTGGAATTGCTGGCTCACTTCCTTTCATATGTGCAAACACCCAGCCTTACAAAGATGCCCTGAACGTTTCTGGTTAGGCTTTGCACGCTGATGGAAAGAGAAAAGTACTACATGTCATTTCCTTTTAATTATGTGAAAGATATCTTGTTTAAACAGCAGAATTTGTCAAAGTCTAAAAAACCCTCAAAGTGTTTGCCTGCTTGCTTTGTAATGGGGATCTGCTTTGTTTCAGGCCACAGATAGCTGTGAGACTCTTGGCTCATAAAATCCAGTCGCCACAGGAATGGGAGGCAGTCCAAGCCTTGACAGTAGGTAGTCCTTACCCCTCTTCAATCCAGTTATATATCATTTTGTGTCATCTGTGTGGAGTATAAGGGGTGCACAGTCTGTCAGTGGGGTTAGCTGGGGCTAGTTTTGGAGCTGAGTACCCGGATTCCCCTCTGCTGGGAGGGAGTGGACAGTGAGAGGTAGCACAGTTACTGAACTGAAGCATCCAGACTGCTCCTTAGCAATGGAGCAGTCAGAAATACCTCTGATTTAGTTTCAGCTGCTCTTTGTTATCTTCAGGTAACATTTGTGTTCATTGTTATGAGACCTAATGGTGAGATAACTGACCCAGGTATGCATATCTGACAGTGGAGACAGCCTGTCTTGATGTGTCACCCCTAAAGATGGGAGCTTCATGCCTGTATTGTGGAACAGGAATATGTGTCTCACTGCCATGGGTCCTTCAGTTCCGTCATAAGCAGAACCCAGCTACACTATTATTGTAGGGTTTTGGTGTTTAGTTCAAGCCCCTGTTTTTGTTGCTTGAATGCAGGTGCTGGAGGCTTGTATGAAGAATTGTGGGAGAAGATTTCATAATGAAGTGGGAAAGTTTCGCTTTTTAAATGAGTTAATAAAAGTTGTGTCTCCAAAGGTTAGTCCCTGAGCCTTATGGCTATATTTAATTTTGTTTGGCCTCTGTCAGCTACAGGCAACATCCAAAATGTTTGCAGTTCTCTGGCTCACTGCATTTATTAGCCTATATTCAAGAGCATTTTTTAGCTAAGGTTTTGGGGTTTTTTGTGCTCTGCTTACTATTTTCTCAGTTGTACTTATTTACCGTCAGTAAATAGTCTCTGTACTGTTCTAATCCTTCATGAAACTGAAGTGCTTCTAAAGCTTGACCTGTGGTGGTGGTTTGTTTTTTTTTTATGAGCCAAACCAAACCCCAGCATCAGTTGAGGAGAGTTGTGATGCAGAGGTTAAAGCAAGAGACTTGGCAACACACCATAGAGTTCTAATCCTCACTCTGCTGCTGACTTGCTGCATAAAGTGCCTGGCTAAGTCCCTCCACATCCATGATCAGTTTAAATTGCCAAAAATAGTCAGAGGCACCCCAAGGCACGATTGATTTAGAGAAGTAGACCAAGATTCCTTCCCATAAGACAATGAGGAGGTGGTTATCTGTATTGCTGTAATTTTAAAACAGCAAAATCCTGAAACCAACAGAATAGCTGCTTTTTCTTTTTCTGAAGATAGTAACAAAGCTTCCTTTACGGTTATTTCAAATATGTTAGAGTTTTTTCCTCTTAATAAGATGTAACTTAGATCATCTTGGAACTTGGATTATACACCTTTTAGCGTGTATCACTGAACTCTCATTCTTGGGATTTGGGCTTTATTCTTAAAAAGAAATGAAGAAGGTAGAAAATTGACATCTTTTCCCCATTTTTAGTACTTGGGCGACCGGGTCTCAGAGAAAGTAAAGACCAAAGTCATTGAATTGCTGTATAGCTGGACTGTGGCATTGCCAGAAGAATCCAAAATCAAAGATGCCTACTACATGCTGAAACGACAAGGTAGGAAGTCAGCTGCTCATTCATGCATTCCTCCAGCCTGCGCTTTACGTAGGAATGTCAGAAAATATACAGCTTCTAATTATGTGGAGTCCAGGCAAGCTCTGAGGGTAGATAGAACAAGGCAGAAATTCCCTGAAAAGCTTCTCATTATATTTAAATGCCTTGGGTTGAGATGAGTTGGCTTTTTAAACTACATTAGTTAAACACTTTGCAAATACTTTTGGTTTGCAGGGTCTTTTTAAAGTTTTTCTGGAACTAGTTACTAAAGGATTTGAACAAGTCAAAGAGAAATACGAGCCTCCGTGTAGTCTTCTGTCTTCTAACTGGACCACTTTTCAATTGTACCTTTAGTTCCACTGACACAGATCTCTTGTGTAGGCACAGTGAAAAAAAACTCAGCTGAGAAGCATGCAGCTTCAACACAAGAAAAGTTGGTTCCAGGAAAGCTCTTGAGGTAGAGCACAAATCTAGGGATTTGACAGTGGAATATGAAGGAAGCTTGGCTTTTTCCCCACTCGTGGTTAGGAGTCTGCTCATCACCCCATTTTGCATTGCTGTCCGCTTCCCTTCTCAGTTCGTTTATACAAAAAAATGTTGTGCCCTTGAGTTTGCACAAAGCTGAGTTGTCCGAGACTTCTCTTAGTGGTTCAACAGCAAGTGTGAAAGGGGGAAAGAAAGTTAGTGGAGAGCAATTGATTTTACTGAGCTATTAGAGGAGCCGTATGGACATGGCAACACAGTTGCTGGGGTTTTGGCCTTTATCAAAGAAAACTTTATTTTTTCAGCTAGCATCTTCAGTGATTTTGATCCTGTATTGCTCACTACAACAGTGTGCTAATATCAGTGGACAGATTGGCTGCGTGTTCGCTGTGGTAGCAGCCTGTGAATAACTGGATGCACTGCCTGGTGTGACTGCGTGTGCAAACCCATGTGGGTTCCCTTTCTGCTTTCAGGGATCGTTATGTTTGATCCTGTGATTCCTGCAGACAGAACCCTGATCCCTTCTCCACCGCCTCGTCCCAAAAACCCTGTGTTCGATGATGAGGAGAAATCCAAGGTACAGTTAAGACTTGTATCGTAATCACCTGTGAAAAGTGATTACGCCATGGATGTTTAGAATAAGGAAGTAAAACATACTAATTCAGCTTTTATTTTTGAGGTGATGGTCTGTGCTTTCACAGAACTCATTCCTTTGTCCACCTACCGAACCAAAAGTTCTAATTAAGGCCTTGTCTGTAATACCGTTATGAAGTTAGTCCTGGTTAAAGTGTCATCCTGCTGTAGTACTAGGAAACAGAGCATGTGGAAACATGCAGAACCACAAATAATTTATGGGAGGAATAGTTATCTAGTGTCAGAGGTTTCTGAGATTTCATCATAGATGTCCTGTGTAGAAGCAAGAATGCAACAACTCACATAAAATATTAAACCATAAAAGACTCCTGCTGAAGTCACTAGCTATGAAAACCGTATAAGCTTTGTAATAGTGGGCTATATCTCTTTTCTCCTGAATTGTTCACTTAGATTTCCTTTCGCTGCTTCCTTTTGCCAAAGGGTCTTTGTTTTCTGAATATCCTCTTCTCGTCTTACAGCTTCTAGCCAAACTGCTCAAAAGCAAAAACCCAGATGATTTACAAGAGGCCAACAAGCTTATAAAATCCATGGTAAAAGAGGTAAGAAATTCCTGTAGGATTGATCCCAGTCAGCAGTTTGCTTTCCAGGTTTTAAGCAATTTGACTTCAAAATGGTGGAGAGCTTTAGGATCATGTGAACGACAGAGCTTGGTTTTTTTTAAACTCAGGCTGCTGGAGCATTATGTTGGTACATTTCTTAGTTAAGTTGTCGGGACTGGATGAGCCTGACCATCAGCGACATCCAGCCTTCTATTATTTTTTTAAAACCTCTAACAGCGCTAACTTACATTTAGTCCCCATGGTTACCAGCATAAAGGGGATGACTTAGTAGGGACTCTGTGTGATATAAATGCATGGTAATTTTGGTTGCAGCTGGGAAATGTTTGTATCACAGTTGCTGTCTCTGGTGGAGGACAGGGCAAGAAGGGGCAAGGATTGAATGGCCCTTGTTGTATTTCACTGCGTTCTCAAGATGGTATTTCATGTCAGGGTTTGGTGGGAATGTTGCAGTACCACCCCTGGATACTGAGGACTGAGTCATTGGACTGGGTCTTCTGATAAGCAAGCTTCATGGAAACACCTTCCTGTTTGTAGAGCTGCGATGTGTCCACCCATGGCAGCTGTTAGAAACCCTGGAGACCAGGAAATGACTCGCTGTGATTTTGGCAAAAAGAAAAGCCAGCCTCTAGACTGAAGAGGTTGTACAGGTTACTGAAATGCTTCCATTCAAGCTTCTCTTGTCCCTAGGGCAGACTCTTCTACCTCTTTAGTTGGAATCTCAAATCAGAAATGGGTGGACATTTTCTACCAGAGTGGGCTGCTTGTTCCTAGTAAATGCTTTGCTTCAAGCACCCCTTTTTTGTAAAATGGCATCAAGTGACCAAAAAACCCCCAAACTACTGAAAAGGTCAGAAAGGAACTTTTAGGAAGTTTTCTAATTTTTAGTGGTATAATTAAGGTGGTATACTTTAAAGCCTACTTAGTGAGATTTTTTGAAAATACTGGGTTTTCTATAATTTCAGAATGGTACTGAAAATATAATAAAATAAATCATCACATTTGGGGTTTTTTTTTGTTTGTTTGTGGGGTTTTTTCCTAGCTTAACCTTAAGTAGACATTACTTGACATGATTTACAGATCACATCTGCTGTTGTCATGCCATAGACCTTTACAGGGAAACTCAGTTTTCCTGTCTGTGTTTTATACCCTCAAGGATGAGGCTCGGATTCAAAAAGTGACAAAACGCATGCACACACTGGAGGAAGTAAATAACAACGTGAAGCTGCTGAATGAGATGTTGGTTCATTACAGCAAAGAGGACTCATCAGAGGCTGATAGGGAGCTCATGAAGGTGGGTCTGAGTTGCTGCTTCTTCCCAGAAATCCTGCAGTCAGTCTTACAGACTTGAGTTTTGCAGGGAATTATAAACAGTGCAGTAAAATGGAGAGCAATGACGAGAAACAAGAGCAGTTGCTGGAAACAGCAGGAAAGAAAATAGGCATGTTTTTAAGGCCTTTCACCAAAGGACTCGGTGGGTAATAGCTTGGTTTTGCACATTCTTGGAGTGAGCTCCAGCTGTTCTCCAAAGAAGCAGCATGGCAGAATCAAGAAGCTGCAGTTTGTAATTCTTGCTCCTGTTGGAACATACTGATTGCAGAGCATAACTGTCCCTTACAGCACTGTGGATGGATAAACTAAAGGCTGAATGAGGCAGAAAATATGTCCTCCCTTTCAAAGGAAGAATTTTAGCTAGTGTTATTAGGCTGGGAGAACATCAAGAAGGTAAAAATCAAAACAAGAACCAGGAATTGTTGGATAGGACCAGGGCTTTGAAGAGTTACACCTTATCTAATTTAAAAAGTTAGAACTACTAATTTTTAACAGCAAGCTCCTGAAACAATGGTAAGACGCTTGAGAAACTGGTTTGTTTCTGTGAAACATTTTCTTCTTGCCATCTTTCTTTGTGATTGCAGACCCTCTGACTAGTGTTTGCATCACATAATTGTTGGAGCACAATTCTGCTCTCCTCAGGATTTTAGGGACTACTGTAATACAGGGAATGAACATCTCTTTTGGACTAGAGCTGGCCATAAGTGCTGATGTGAGAGAGGACCAAGAGATGTTGTGTTGAAAATGCAGGTTGCTGTACTGCTTCACAGCTCTGTTAATGGGGCAGGGACAGCAGATCCTGGATGTCCAGTCACACTGGCACATTCAGTGCAGTGAGACTGGTTTCTCTATTCTAGGCTTTCCAATGCATGCCTGGGGAGTCATTCTGTGCTAGCTGGTACTGCTGACAGTGGCTCCTGGCTGATGAAAACCTTTGTCCTAATCTGTCTTCCTAGGAGCTCTATGAAAGGTGTGAAACCAAAAGACGGACGTTATTCAAGCTGGCCAGTGAGACAGAAGATAACGACAGCAGTTTGGGTAAGCTAAGCTACACTTCTCCTCTTTTAATTGCGTTTGTGACCTGTGACTGTGCAAGGGTTCAGCAAGGAAATGGCTGCTGTAAAGACGCCTCTTCAGTGTGGATGCACTTTGCTTTGAGCAAGCAGATTAAAGACAAGATCCTTGCCTCTTTGTGCTTATCATTTGAATTCAGGCAAGGACTTGACAGTAGAGTTGGTGGTTAGGGAGGCTGGGGGCAATAATGGGGGATAGCTGCTGCTTTGGAGGAGAGTTGCAGTGGGGAGCAGAGCCTTGAACTCATTTTTCCATTGTTACTGTAATGTGCGTGGACCTAGAAAGGTCAGGGTATTGCTTAGAGAAGCATGGCAAAGACAGAGAGTAATGGAGATCATAGCTAAATAATTGGTTTTTTTCTTGCCGATTATGTAGTTGAGAACTGAGTGTTCTCAGTATTAGTGGGAGCAAAGTGACTAAAGTCTTAGAGGTTGTTTTTGTCTTTCTTGCATGTAGGAGATATTCTGCAGGCCAGTGACAATTTATCTCGTGTGATAAATTCCTATAAAAAAATAATAGAGGGGCAAGTGATCAATGGTGAAGTGGATCTCCCTGTGATGTCTGGAGTGGAAGGTGAGTTCCTGGGAAGCCACCTGAACTGTTTAATTTTTGAATCCTGCAATTCTAAGTCTTTTGGATAGAGTTTCCTATTAATTGTGGTAAAGTAGGCTATTGATGGTTCTTGTGGGCAACAGTTTGTAAATCAGAGGGACAAGACAGCTCCTAAGCAGTAGGTAAACAATTCTAGACATGATCAACAGTGCTGCAGCTTTGCATTTTCTGTTGTTTATTCCATATTATTGAAACCTTTGATAACATCAGTAACAAACCTGGTTAGGTGGAGAGCATGTGGGCTTTCTCCGTTACAAAGAGCCATAAGCCACACTTAAATGAAGATCTGTATCTAAACCATCTCTATGACAATTTCTTCTGTACATTGGGTTTGCTCTGAGCCTTTTGCCTTCTTTTCCTAGTAGTGCTCTTCTCCTGTCCGCTGCAGGGAGTAACTCCACAAGTAATCTCAACACCCTCATTGACCTTGCTGGATTGGATGTCACCAGCACCCCACCACCTCCAATGCCTCCCACCACCCTGACGCCAGCCCCCACAGTAGCCCCAGCCCCAGCGGAAATCCCTGTTCTCCCAAAGCCTCCCCAGACATTCACGCAGTTGCGGAGCAATTCCTCTGGCCAAGTGGAAGCCGCACCCACTCAGCAGAGCAGCACGGCCAACTCCCTCTCCTTGCTGGATGAGGAGCTTCTGTGCTTAGGTAAGACACTAAGAGGCCCAGAAAAGGGCTACTCAATCCATGCCTGACAAGGACTGCTTTCTTCCTTCAGCATGAATGTGAGGGCTGGCTGTGCATGTGGCATGCCTAGAAGGAGCATGAGATGCCTTTGATTTCTAGAGAAGTCCAGGGGACATTCCCTTGCATCATCCTGAATATAAGACCTGCTCAGTGAGTCAGTATGAAAAACTCTGATCTTTCCAGAGTCGGCTTCAAGTGAAATAACTGTTGAGTGTAACTGCAGTGTGACCTCTGTAGGTGCTTGGTCATGCAGACTGCAGTTTGGTTCAGATCTCACTCCTGACTTCCTGGCTGTGCTAAAGAGCAGGGTGCCTGAGAAGGGTTATGTATTGGAGCCTAGATGTGAACAGCAGAAGACTGCAAATTGGGAAGGGTTAGAAAAGCTGAGTGCAGGGGTTGACTGTCAGCTACTGGTGCTGTCAGTCTCTTTTCCTCATAACAGACTTGCAGCCCATTTTCATTCTTTCACCAGATTCTTGGGCTCGGGGAGAGTTGAGCCAAGTAGTTTGATGATACTGAATCAACTGCCAAGGGATGACACCTAACTAATTTTCTCCTTCAGTCACCCGCTTGTTATTTTTCCTTTCAGGCCTGAATGACCCAGCTCCTGCAGCAGTGAAGGAGACCTCAGAAAACAACCAGTGGAGCATGTTTGAGGTATGAAGGAGGGCCTTGGGAGAAGGGGAAGGAGGAGTTGTCACTGTGGGAGGTGACACGCTCTGTCGCCTTGGAGAAACATGTGATCACACATACAGGCAGAGGGGCAGCTGTCCCTGAGGGGAAGCCTGGCTTAGCCCTAAAATCTGGGAAAACTGTGTCTAAACAGAGTAGATATCCCTGAACCTGGCTTTCTCAGTTTCCCATCGATGCCCCCTTATGTTAGCACTTCCTTTGCTTAAATTACAGATCAGATGTAGTCCTGACATAGGCCACAGACTTTGCTGCTTGCCACCCAGCACCTGTTTTTGCGGTAAATCTATCTCCCTCTGTAACAGTGCCATCTCCAGCACAGGGGGTAGCAGTGAGTTAGAGCATCTACTTGTCCTCTCTTGCAGAATGACCAGTTGGACCTGGATTTCTTTAATCCGAAGATGATGACTGTTGCTTGCAACTCTGCAGGGAACCCTCTTCTCCATCACACATCACAGACCACGTGTGGGACATCAGTGACGTTGCCCTCTGCTTTCACAGCCTCTCAGACTGCTCCCAGCATCCCAGCACCAAACCCAGCACCGTTTGTATTCTCTGCTGGACCGGCTGCCCCTGCAGGGCCTCCTAAGACTATTCCAGCTGCTCCTGGGTACTTCAGCTCATCTGTGGGGAGCAGTATGTCACATAAGACGGATGCACTGGGACAACTCCTTGAAGAAGCCAAAGGGTAACTAAAAGTCCTGGACTTTCTCTGCAGTTAGAAAGCCAGGCTTGCTGCAGCATCAGGTTCAGAGGCAGACTTTCAACTCTCTGGTTTGGTAGAAGTGTGTGACTGGGTGTTTTCTTCTCAGAGTTTCAGTTGATACAAATGCACAGTGCAAAGTTGAACAGGCTGCTGAGGCAGAGGCCTTTGCTTATCTCAGCCTTTCCCACCTTTGCCAAGGGGGAACTCTGCTTTCTTCTTGGTGTAGACAAGTGATGCCTAACCCTAACACCACCACTTTCCTTGTAACTCTTCTTACATGAGACCATACTGAGTCACAGACTCCAGTCTGGCTCCAGGTCACTGCTTGGTTCTCGTGGTCTGCTGTTATCTCTGGGTTTGTGGTGAAATGCCTGCTTCACTTTCAGCTCAGTTTCCCATGTTTTTCCTGTCTGTCTTCCAGGACTGCCACCCAAGGCATGGCGGCACCCTCAGTGTTCCCTGGGGTTACTTTGCCAACCACTGTCACCTCTGCTCCATTAATAGCACCTGCAGGGCTGCCAGCCACTGCTCCTGGAGCCCCTCCAGTTCCTTTCCCAAGCAGCTGCACTGCTGGCTCAGGAAGTCCTCTCTTCCAGCCGGCATCATTCCAGCAACAAGGCAGTCCCATAAAAGCACCTGAAATTTCTTTGGCCAATGTCCATGTTCCCTTGGAATCCATTAAACCCAGTAAGTACCTCAGGTTTTTCACCTTTCTCTGAATGGTTTTTAAAAGGAAAGCTGCTTGACCGAGCTTATGAAGTAGAGAGAAAAGATGAGATGACCCAGACAAAGAGTCAGATTGCCTAATGCTGCTACAGATCGTACTCTACAGCATAAACCTGCATTCCTCTCGCCTTCTCTCTCTGCGTAGGCAGTGCCCTCCCAGTGACAGCCTATGACAAGAATGGCTTCCGAATCCTCTTGCACTTTGCCAGAGAGTGCCCACCGGGAAGGTCGGATGTGCTAGTCGTGGTAGTGTCAATGCTGAACACGGCACCGCTTCCTGTGAAGAACATCGTGCTGCAGGCTGCGGTGCCAAAGGTAGGGATGTGTGGCTCAGACCCATAGCAATGTGAAACTGTGCATTTGGCAAGGGCTGGGTATGAACTCAAGGACTTGGGACACCTTGGTTCTACCTTCCAATAGGCCGTGCTTTCTGTTTTCAAAACATAAAGGTGGTTGTTGGAGGCAGAAAATGCTGAATAGGATCAGTCAAGACCTGCAGGTAGTTAGTGATGTATTTTTTCCTGCTATCTAAGATCAATCCAGCTGTGTCTGTTCATGAAGGTGGCTCATACAGCACAATGACAGGACTGTTACATGGATAGAGCCACCCTTGAGGTCTTTGGGAATCAGACATCCTGAATCTGACCATACATTCCATTCTGGTGTTACTGCACCTACATAATTTTGGATGGTCAGCTTGTGTTTTGAAAACTGGCCCAGTCTCAGCTATGATCTGCCTACTGTCCTGAAGGTGTTCGCATTAAAACCTCTGACAGCAGATAACTCAAATAGGAAGGTGCTGTTGGTGTTCACCAGAACTTCTGCTCTGGGCTGACTTGTCGGTCTACCCATCCCTATGATGTTGTGTAAGCTGAGCTGGCTTTTGTTTCCTCATCCTTGCATGTGGATTGGTTCTCTTTAGTTTGGATGTGTGCCCTTACCTCCTCAGCCTGTGCATGCATCCTTTATTGTCCCCAGGGTAGGAGATAATCCCTGAGGTTCCGCTTTCTTTTTCATTTGCAGTCCATGAAAGTGAAGTTACAACCACCCTCTGGCACAGAGCTGTCTCCATTCAATCCCATACAGCCGCCTGCTGCCATCACCCAAGTCATGCTTCTGGCAAACCCTGCAAAGGTGAGAGGGGCAGTGGGATTTATGCACAATTTTTATGTAAGCTGAATTCTGCAGTGGGGTTGGACCAAATATTTGAGCAGATAAAGCTGTTTAATCCTAACTTGTCCTCCAGAGGTGGTCACTGCATAACGCTGGTGTTTCAGTTTAGGGCTAGAAGGAGGCTGTCCATAGTCTCTTCCCCAACAGCCTTCGTCAGCAAGGAAAGGCATGAGAAGGACCTGAACATTTCTCCCAGCAAAAGGGCAACAGTCGTACAAGGCTCAGCTTTAAAGGGCAGCAGTCAGAGCTGTGCCAGGAGCTTCTCTGACTCCCTTGTGCACTGGCAGTGCCTGGCTTTGGTGGTAATTAGATTGATGTCAAATTAGCTGGTGCTGTAGAAATACTTCTCCTTGTTAAGGCTAGAGCCTGATGGACCTGAACCAACAGACAGATGTCAGGTCATGTCTGTTCGTTATTCTTTGAGGATGTACCTGTGACCAGTGAAACAACGTGGTTAACACTTCCTTTTCCGAGTGGCTGTTTTTCCTTGCTGTAGTTACTTACTGAAGTAGCCTGCTGCATAAAGCTCAGAGCTCTATGCTGAAGTAGTTTCTGCATTTGTCAAATAATTAGATACTGAGAATTACAGCAAAAGGTATCAGCTGAAAGCTTTGAGATCCAAAAGGATAAATGTCAGACGGGGTTGGTGGATTGTTGAAAAACTTTGTGAGGGACATGGAGATCCCCTCATTGAATGACTGGCTCCATCTCCTGATTACTGTTTTTGTTAGGAATTTTGCAGAGCAGGAATTGTTCTGTCTCCCTCTGCATGAGGAGGAATTTAATCTTGAAAGTGTTGAATTATTCCAGCAACATTTTTCAGGCTCAGCAGCTGGCTTCTGGCCACATATGTGCAGTCTTGTTGTCACAGGTCGCTCCTGTCTTTCTCCTGCTGTTCCATGCTAAGCAGTAAAGCTTTCGTGGTATAAAAACTGTAAGGTAAATAACTCAGGTTTGCTAAATAGCTGAACTACTCCCTGAACTTACCTTGGCCCTCTTCCCCCTGCTATGTGCAACAGAAGTCTTGTGCTCTCTGTAGGGCTGTAACAGTGAAGTGTTTTGTTCAGGAGCTGTTCTCACGTTGCTCTTGGGTTTTGTCTTTCCTGCAGGAGAAAGTGAGGCTGAGATACAGACTGACCTTCACACTGGGAGACCAGCCCAGCACAGAGGTTGGCGAAGTGGATCAATTTCCCCCGGTAGAGCAGTGGGGGAATCTATGACCTTAGGACACTGCCAGAGACTCTGGGACAGGACCAGGGAAGGATCCCACAGGACTGGAATGAATGTGATGCGGGGAGGGACACACATGCTATCCACTGGTGATGTTCAGCTTCGTTTACATGTCCTGACCACTCTGCTTGTAGCTTTAGTCCAGAATGTTTTGCCCCGTATTGAAGGGGTCCTGGGACATTTACGCCAAGCATGAACGGAGTGGCAGCCACAGTAACAGGCAGTGCTGGCTGCTTTTATCTTGACCTCTGGGTGAATCTGGTTCTATCTTCCACTCTATTAAACTTGAAGTTACTGTATTTTGAGGGGAGACCTGTCAGCAGGAGGGGATTTAGTTGGCTTGTTCCTGTGCTGCTGTCCAGAGATACCTACAGGCTGGTGGGGTGATGATGCCACCGTGAGCTTCCTCAATGCAGAGCCCTTACTCATGCCCTCCCTCAGACTTTTACCTCCTCAGTGCCAGTCTGGACGTGCTAAGCATGCTGAGCAATAACGCTGGCTCCATGAGGGAATGCTTATTTTTTACACTGAAATGGCACTCGGCTCCCTTCCTCCCCCTCCGCTGCTTCATTCCCAACGGCCAATGTGAGCAGATCCTCGCTCTGTGCTGTATCTTCAGTTTTATTTATTTTATACTGCCAGCTGCCTCCCTGTTGTATCCATTTTGGGCAGCTGGGGCTGAGTTTTGTAAGCAAATGGTTACACTGGTTATTTTTCTGCCTTCATTGCATTCCGTAGTGTTGGGAAAAGAGGAAATGTGTAGTGAGGAGGTAAACAGGGCTGGGAAGGAGCAGTCAGTATTGGTGGAGGACAGCACCTGGAGTGCAGAAATGTCTCTACAATCACTGCTCGGGTGTAGGACTGAATCCAGGGACAAGGAGAGACGCCTTTCACGTCCCCTCGTGCAGGCAGTATTATTATTGTAGTTGAATACTGTGTTCTACTGAGATGAGTACAATGACGTTCAAGATGTAAATAATAGAGCTATAGGATATCTACATAGAAATAAGCAGACAGTGAAAGGACAGGAGGCTCCACTGGGCTGAGGTGATGCACGTGCTGGGTCTAGTGCCCTGTTTTATTTGTTGCCTGTATTAAGTGGCCAAGTGCAATTGTTTCCAAGGGGGAAAGCAGTTTTGCTGGACGTCAGTGTTCTGCACTAACAGGGGGCAGAGGGGCTGACCCCTCTAGCTACAGGCTCACAGAAACTAGGTTTTAATCACTGAAACTTGATTCCAGCAGTCCCTTCCCTCTCCCTCTTAATTTCCCATCTCAAGCAGTGCCTCAACTAGCTTTGAGACAGACTGTTTTAAATTAATGGGGTTTTTTAACATCCATTGACAAAACCACAGAGAGGGCAGGTCCTTGGACACACAGCTCAGCATTTCTAGCCGTGCTGTCAAGCAGCAGCTCGTACCAAACTGTGGGTGGGAGCAATCAGCTGGAGCACTGAGGAAGTCAGTAGGCAGGAGGAGACCCCTGCCTGTTTTAGGAAAACTCCAGAGGAGAACATGCTGCTAGAATTAACAGTGGCTGTACAACCCGTTACTGCAAGTGCAGCTTGGAGCTATTTGTAGTTGAATTTTCTTTACTGTGTTGCAAAGTAAAAATCACTAAAGGTGAGAAACTCAGTGGATTTGAAAGCTTGAAGTCCTCATCAGGGGCACCAGGCAGCTGGTGTGTTGTTTGGACCCTTAAATAAAGCGGTTTTAAATCGATGGGCTGGGATAGGGGACAAGGAAAGAATTCTTTCTGCCTCGGAGATATTCTTGCCAGCACTTTAGACACAGTAGGCATGGGGTAGTGCTTGGGTCCTGGTGGTGTGTCCTGAGGAAGCAGGATGCACTGCTTCAGATGCCTACACGTGAATCTCACTGTGACTTTGAGGAAGTCAGAAGAGCACAAGTGCTTTCTGCAGAATGGCTTTGTTGTCAGTGTTAACAGCAGCGCTGTCTGCGCTGTACAGCCAAACAGAAAATGCTGTAGTCTTGCTGCGAAGAAATGCATTGTTAAAAGCTTTGGAAATTAAATATGAATGTTCCCTGTCTGTAGTAGGGTGAGGTTCCTGCTGCATACCGAACAGCCGTAACTGTACATACATCTCAAATGCATTTGTTCTGCTGCATGTTAAATAAACTGTTTTCCCTACTTTGCTCTCCCTCTTTGCTCCCTACATTAGCCCTCATTAACGACTGCTCGTGGAGTACAGTGCTGTTTCTGGAGATCCTAAAACTCAACCCATCATCTAAAGACCATTAAAACTAGGGAAGAACAGAGAAGTTGCCATTTTCTAAAACCCCAGTGGTTTAAAAGGTGGTAGAGGTAAAGCAACTGAAAAAGCCACAGTAATGCTGCCATTGGGGGTAAGGTTTACTTTACCAGGGAGGGCTACCAGACCACGTTGGAACAAGCAGCCTTGACGTTCTCATGCAGCTCCTTCTCAAAAGTCACATTTCCATTTTTTTAAAGTTATGTTTATGGAAGACACAAACAAATCCCCATGCAATATGCAAAACAAGAGATTTATTCTTAGAAAAGCAGTCAGGTTTATGTACAGTGAGCCACAGAGGATGAATAAAATCACATACTGCTGTCCTCAGGATCCTTCCAATGTGCCTTCTTTGACGATCACTCGTGCAAGATTTCGTGCAAGAGCAAGTCTCAGCATTTCCACTTTCATGGTCTCGTCGTCGTCATCCTAAAAGCAAGCAGAGTTTGGATTAGACTGCTACCCGCAGAGATGAGCTGGCAGTAGGTTCTCTTTCTGGGTTTTGCAAAGTAAGGATGCAGGTCGTTAAGAGGGGAACATGTGGATGTTAACCTGCCACAGGGACCTCCTGAGAAGAGCAAAAGCTGCATTTCTTACTTTATGGATCAACACAAGACAGCATTGCCAAATGTTTTCTTTTCCTGGCAGCTGCAGAGGTTTGCAAGTGGAGCAAACAGCTCCCTGTTCTGTGCCTGGAAGGTTTCATAGCTTGAGCTGTTAGATGGCAGCACCTCAGCTTTTCATTGCCCATGTAACTTGCAATTATTTACCTTGGAAAAGCATCACAGTCCCATCCAGAGCAGCAGAGCAGTGAGGAATGGAAGCACTCCTGTACTGGTTTTGCTTATACTTAAATATCTCTTGATGATGCCTGATTTGGCTGGGTTTTAAAAACACCACATACCAGCCTCGGGAACTCAGGCTCTCCCTCTTTTCTGCCCCCATGCAGGAATAGAAATTTAGGGGCTTGGTTTCCCTGGCCCTCCCCACAGCCCCAGCGATTCATTATCCAGTTGTCCTCAAAAGAGGAGCTACCTGGAATTTCTGCTTATCCGTCTTTCCTGCTGTCAGGTCTTCCAGGCATCGCATCAACTCGTAAGTCTGCTCTGCTGAAAATATAACCTGTGGAAATGAAAGTAGTTATTGAAAGTGGTCAAGTTTAAGGCCATTGCACAGAAGATAACTCAATTGAGAGCAAGGGATCGCTTCCACACTCCCACAGATCCCTTCTGACTCTTTAAATCACGGGATCAGGGGATAATTCAGGCTGGAAGTGACTTTGGGAGGTCTCTAGTGCCACCTCCTGTGCAAAGCAGGGTCAGCTATGAGGCAAGACTGGGTGTTTTGGGCTTCATCCAGTCATGGGTCTGTAATTTCTAAACTGCTGTTTTCTTGATGGATCTTAAAGCAAAAATTTGGCTTAGAAGGTGGAAGCGCACTACAAAACCCTCCAAGCCAAGTACTCAAAGAAACTGGACGCAGGGTGTACTTAAATCACCAGCATGTATGCATTCCATAGCTGTTTTCTAAAAGCAGGGACCCAAGTTAAGAGTTGATTATCCCATCATAGGTCCTGTGTACTCCCCTGATGGGACACTGGGGTAGCTGTGCAGGTCTGAAACTGCCACAAACAGTTCTTTGGCACTGGAGATGCAAGCCTTACCCTGGGGACAGAAAAAGGGTCACCGCTTTGAGATACCTTGTCAAGAAGAAAAGGAAGGCAGGGTGTTTGGGAGGCGTTGTGGTGCATGACTGCTCACCTCCTTCTGCTCCAGCAGGGGAAGGGCATCTGTCAGCAGCGTCATCCAGAAGGAGCAAGGAGCAATGTGAGCTGTCATCAGCATCAAAAGCAACTTGGCAGCTTCAGAGAAGCGCTTCTCCCCGTACAGCCGGTGGAATTCTCGGTACTTCCCTACACAGTAGTGTTGATGAAGGGGAAAAGGTGTCAGTGTCTGTCAGACCTGCCCAAGCCTGGGCTGCTGGATGGCAGGAGGTCTCTGTGCTCCCACGAAGCCTATGGTAGCACCACCACCTCCTGAAATGACTCTCCAAGGCAGCTGAATATGGGGTAATGGGAATCTTGGACGTGGAGAGGTTACAACAGAGGCCGGCTGAAAAGGCACCCAAAACCCTGTTACTGTTCTTGGTAAGGTTTTACTGTTTGCACCAGCCTGATCACTGATATGGTCTGGTGCTGTGTGTGCAGTGTGAGTAACAGCACAAACAGCTTAGAGACTGGTGGCATCTCCAAAAACCAGGAACGGGAGGGGGGCAGGGAATGTGTTTTTTGATGTTGCAGAGTATCAGGAGGTCTGAAAGGCTTCACTGTCTTCCTGGTTGTTTAAATGGAAACTGAGATCTTTGTTAATGTGGAAAGTTCTGCTCTCATTAAGAATCGGTTAGATCAGTATCCAGCACATAAGAACTGGCTGAGGATGAAAGTGAGTTGTATTCTGCAGCTTTTGTTTGTATCCACTAAACTGCCAAAATACTGGAAGTAATGATTCCCATTCACATTCACCTTTGACTAATGCTTGAGCTCAAGACAGAGATGTGTGAAATTTGTCCAGCAGAAGTACACCTGATGTTTTTAAAAGCTCAGAAGGAAAACCAAGCAGAAATATCTTCAAGCTTTTCAGGACTTTTATAAAAATCAGAAAGGGAGGTGATTTCTCTACAAACACAGATTATAAGCATAGTTACACAAACTGCAAATCTTGGGAGCTGATGCAAGGGTCACTGGGTGACACTGGGCATTCAGAGGTATGAGGGATTACCAATTTGGTAACTCACTGTTAACTTCTAGGCTTAATTTAGGATAAGGCTTAAATGATGGAAAAGGTTCTAGTTTTGCTAGCTTGGACCAAATGGGAATGGATAAAACTCAGGATCACCCTTACTGTAATGCTGCTGTCAGCCAGAAGGGAGCTGGTGCGATTGCCCACAGCTATTCCAAATTCCTATTGGATTTTTGCCCTGGTGATTGGCTCGCTAACTGCCACAGCTCCAGAGAGAGGGGCGGCTTAGCTCCATTTCCTGTCTTGGTCCATTAATCAAAGGCCACAGAGCAGCTGCAGCCAGAGGGGCAGGTTACCACAGCCCACACTGTGCCAGCCAGGAGGAGGAAGCTGTGGTGTGTGAAGGAAATGGGCTGGAGGCCCTCCACTGTAGTTTGGTACAATTGCTGTAGTGAAAGGGTAGGAGAGATCTTACGTTTGAGAGAGCCTGAAACTGGCACACTGAACCAA